TTTGATTTAGCAACACTCATTTTGTCCAGCCATGGGACCAGCTCAGGTTAATGATTGGGTGTGCATACATGTACCGTACCACTTCTTATGATAGGTTCCTTTAACACTGTTGCCTGTTGTTCTCCAACATTTTCCCCTCTTTTCAATAATTTCTAGGTTAATGTTTGTGAACTTACAATGTTTGATCTTTAACAACAACAACAAAAAACTGACCATGCCACCAAAGATACCCACTCCAAAATCTGTAGAACAGGATTACATCCTCTGCTCTAAAATACTACTCCCCGTTGCTTTAAAATTTATCGACAATTAGATTTCCGTCTTGCTCTTATAAGACTTTCGGTTTCCAATTAGAAAAAAATGCCATTGATGGCATGCGCATTTTGGTGACAAGAACGACAGAGAATAGACTTGCCAAGTAGGATGTATTCATTTGGGGCCACAATTGTACACCTAATCAATCGTTGTTCTCAAACCCAAACTGGACTTAAACTGCTCTTCGCCAACAATTGATAAACAGTCGAATACAAATGGCCCAATACTGTCCATACGCCAAACAGGGACGATAAAAGCCCCATCACTCTCTGAACAGAGATGGGCACATAATATCTAACTATGCTTGGAACTTGGAAGATCGTTCTCTTCAGGACCGTACAAAAACCCTCGCCTCCTTTACCAGCCTTGCACGCCATGGCCTTCCCTAACCTCACCCTACGAGTGTACCGTTGCTTCCATAGCTTTACAACCCCCTTAAACCAATTCGCATGAATCCATTACAGCTGCCATTACTACCTCCAGCACCAGTCCTTCCACCATGCGTCCCATTGTCGTGCAAACCTCATTTTATATTGTATCTCTTCAGTCTCAACCAAACTCTGAACCCTAATCAGTGTTGCTCTGTTGCATTGTTGAACAGTGCCATACTGAATCAATCTGCGACGAGCCAACGGCCATGCCTCCAACAGTGCCAGTCCTTTCTACCAAAGGGAGGTGGAAACCCTATATTTATAGATTTACTGCCTGCTCAACGTTAACTATCTCAGTCTCAGTCCTGGAAAAATTAGCCTCTGCGTGAACAGCTACCTCCGAGCGACGGCCTGTACTCAACACATACGATGTCTCTGGAATACGCGTTGGTATTGGCTCCACAAGGTGAACTCCTCTTTGCAACTCTTGGGTCTCCTCTATTCATAGACAGAGATTACTCGGCAGACTAATTCATGTTCTTATTCACTTTTTGCAGAGCTAGCAGAAGCTCCATTAACCATTGAAGGCCTTCGCCTTGGTTTAAACCACCAACCAATTATCTTGCGCCTGCTGCACTACTGGATGCAGAATTCTATTGACCCAGACCCCGCTCAACGAGTTGTGCACAGCATCTGGATAGACAAACAGGTATAGTTCCAACCAAAGACACTTTTTCTGGACACTAAAAATACAGATAGCATCTACCTTTAGGAAGAGTAGGAGCTGAGACCCTTTACAGTATCATGTTTATGACTAGATCAGATGGTGATCGGCCTTTAATATTGCCATTCAGTTGTTTTACTTTGTTTATTACGTTTAAATGCACTTATAGGAGGATCTTATTGAAGCCTACACACCAGTTTGTTTTGCGCGAGAGATACCAGCCTTTTTCTGCCTTGGCAAAATTTTTATGATGCGCTCGGTCCTGGCCAAACGCTGTAGGCGTTCTTTGCGAACATGCCCAAAGATGCTTCGCCTGCGCCTCACGGAAACCGACGATATGCAGGAACTGCCAGAGGAGCCATATTACCCATGGTTCCCAAAAACAGCATTCTATCCAACACCCTTCAGTGCTTTGAGGAACCATCTGTACTCAAAATCAGAATTCAGAGGTGCGTTTCCTGCCTTCACGTTTCACTGCCAATACTCTTGACTTACAACTTACATTTTCCCCTTTCTTTGGAAGATGTGGTTGGCCGCCTGGTTAGTGTATCTGAGAAAGAGCCGGGACCATACAACATGTTCAATATCTGTGCAGTACTGGAAGATTATGTGTTAGTGCCTCAATATGCTCAAATTATTATTACCATGTCCATTCAAGTTATCCATTCAACTATAGTTGCTCTAACCCTCATACACACGAAATTCACAAAATTTAAAACTTCATTGCAGTGGGAACACCATAATGGTGAGCTATAACTGCCTTGATGACTCTCTGTCTCAAACATCTATCGTCGCAGCAGAAAAGCGTGGACCGGTCCTGCTAGCTTTTACAAGCATGCTTGTCACTGAAATAGAAGGTGATCTTTGCAAACCAGTATAGGCATGCCAAAGTGGGTCTTACAGTTTACAACATTTGTCCTAACTTCATTGTACTTTCACACAATGCAGGAGGGTTTTGCTTGCTGAACACAGCGGCTACTCGCATCATCCATGGTCAATACTCGCATCCTTTCAAGCAGCTTAGAGATACGTAAGCATTCCTAACCTGTCACACTGCGTTATGTCACTTCCAGTACTGAATTCATAGTCAAATTACGATCTGAATAATAGATTACTGTTATGAACAATTGTAACCTAACTAATAAATGTACCTGCTTGATACTGAATTTGTTACCTTGAAATATGCATCCTCTGCCCAGGTTCTCACATGTTCACCGACCCGTCGTCATTGGCAACTCATCCACGAGCAACCCTGTCTGTGTTCGTTATCAGCTGCCACCAAAAACAACACTGGCAAAATTAATGGCTGGCGAAAAGGAGTTGTTCCCACCACATACTGTAAGATGAATTCATTGGGATATATAAACAACCTTGCTAGAATATAAAGACGTGCATACTTGGTTTCAACCTAACTTTAAATTACATTGCTGAAACAGTCTTCTGTTTGGTGCCTTATAAAAATTGAGAACATACCAACCTATACAGATCACTGTCACTATGATGAGACCACAAACTTTCCCAGGTACATATCAGAACACTAACATGCAACCTACAAATACTGAATCTAATAACATTTGCACTGACTTCTCTACAGATTCGAAATCAATATCCAGTGTTGTGACATATCAAAATCATGCATTCTTCTGTTCAACAACGATGCGGCAATTTCACTGTTGCAGAAATCACCTGAGGAATATTTGGCTCTCACCAATGGCGCTAAAAATGCATGCCTCGAGTCTGTCGTAGGCAAGCTATTCACTGTGGAAATCGGAACTGGACAAGACACAGAAATTGCAAGTTCGGTCTTCGAGGTCGGCGCCATATGGGATCCGCTTGCCTTTGCCATCTAGACGCACTGAAATCTGTCTATCTTTTTATCATGCCAAGACCTTCCTAATTCCTATGTTGGGTTGTATCCCATAACATATTTTGCTGAAGTTAGCTGTCTGTAGTATTTTGTGTACTCGCTGTATGGTGCAACAGCCCTCCTAAGACCTGCAGAACACTTGGCACTCTTTATCTATTAAAAATGCATGTTTTGTGCTTTAGCAGATTCGCCCAATTCACTTTCTCACAGATCCATTGCTGTTTGCTTTACTAAATGACTGAACAAGGTTGCTCATGGATCACTATGTTGCCAACCATATGATTATGCTGCAACAGTTTAGTTCCCGCGGCGCAGCCGCCGCGGGTATTTATTCTAGTTTGTGTTAAAAACGGTGTTGTTGGTCTGCATATAATCTTGACAGGCTAAAAGGACAATTTGGTGAGCTGGCAAAAAACCCGTCCGGTTGCTTCACTGTTGAGAAGTGCTTTACCGTGAGTAACCTGTCGTTAAGAGAGGCTATAGCATCAGACTTGGCAACAATGCAACAAGCGCTGGAACACTTCAAAGCAAAGCCTCTACCTCATAAGGAAACTAGATATTGATGGGTATGCGTGCTGCACTTCTTTAATTTTCACGAAATTAACTTGTCTGCAGTTCTTACGTTCATGGGTTTCAGCATGCTTGCTCAATTTCTGTATCCTGCATGTTTATTTTGTTTTTGTTTCTGCCCTTGTGCAATAGATATGCTAAGCGGCCTGATCTTTGGAGATCAAAGCAAGAGTCGAGACAGGCAACGTACGATGAGCTTTGTGCAACATTTGGGAAAACTGAGGATGCAGCGTAACATTCAAGCAAACGAAAGAATAGGGAGGAGATTGGCGATCGCTTGGCCTCGGAGGTAAGTGTGAAAGATGTTGATGCCAAGGGTGGCAAGAGGGCGAAGAAGCATAAGGAGAGGGTTGAATCAGAAAGTGGCGGTCCTCCAAAAATGCCATTCCTGTCGGAGGAGATGCACGGAAAGACATGAAGGGGGAAGACAGGGCAGTCGAAAGCTTGGAATAAGCGAACGGCCTTGACCACTTGTGCAGTGTCTAACCCTTGTCTGCCTTCAACAAGATAGCCCTGCGTGATGTTTGCCGCTTCTAGGCTCGGGGTTATTTTGTGATCTCAATCAGACTATCAGAGCATGGCCTATATAATGTATGAAGAGAAAATGATGTTGTTCATTATTTGAAAGCGGCTGGCGATGGAAGGCAAGCTAGACAACCATGTCCTAGTGAAACTTGGTCAAAATATTGTACTCCACAACCACTTGAGCTTGTGCTCATATTGTTGCTAATTGGTAGCACTTTCTTTAAGTAATGCCATTGTATCAACGCATTGAGATAAATGGTATTTCGATTAGATAATGACAAATATCAATTATAAAGGAATAGATGATTTGCATAAATTCTTGTGGTTAATGTTTACATCGATCAATCTTGAATACACAAAGTGAGAACTGAGAAGTGCTCGATGTATAGTCTTAGAAGAATGTCGATAAAGTGGTAGGGCGCATTCGTCCCAAAACAAAACTCCTCTTCCTGCCTTGCTTGCATGCTCGTCAAAGTAAAATAAAACAAAAAAAGAACTGAATGTTGCTCTGCTTCCTATCTATAGAACGCCTAATTATGTATGTTACTACACTCACTTGGACTGAATGATACCCGCAGATATACAAGAAAAGACGAAGGCATTTTAAAGTAAACAGTACTAGTCTACATTACATGTTATCCTTAAACTTCAACACATCTTTTGCGTCTAGTCCATACATCTCGCAAACACTAGTGATTGCAGCTTCGCTAACATCATCATCGTCTTCCTGCTGCCTGATGATGATCTCCTCAAGTTCCTTTGATGGCTGCAACACCTGCGATTATTCACCAGAACACAAGGCTTCATAGGCACGCCAGCCAATAAATAAACAACAACCATGACATGACAACTACACCATATACAGAATATTTATCAGCTATGCAATGTAACATCAGCCTGCTGGACAATAGGGTGACTTTTTTCCTACTGCAACAACACCCACCAACTTTATTACGTAACGAAAACCAGTAGCAAGTAGCAATAATATCTGTGGCTTTCAAGAGGTCTCTACCCAAATAGCTCACAGCTAAGAGAGATCCAGGGATGACAAATTCTAAAATCATTCTGCACTGCCGAATGAAAGCCACCACAATCCTAACTTGTGAGGTGTCAAGCCATTTCAGAACTACTCGTTCGGGAGCACGATCCATCTTTTCTGTACCGACTCAGCTGACAAACTAAAATGAATCCCAAATATTAGGTAAAGACACTCAAGTATACAGACATCATATGCTCGAAACATTGCTCGTCCTTAAGCTAACCAAAACACAAGTGACTAGACTGAATCACCACTTGGTTAGCACAAGATGCTCTTTAATGTAAACCATGCATGTCAAAATAATTAAGACATGTTAAAATTAAGCAAAACTAAGGTTATTCATAATCTAAACAGAGGAAACTCGATCGCAATCAGCTTGCAGCCAAAATAACATAGAGGCCAGTAGAATTCATTGCCAAAATTATATTCTGACTCACCCACGGAGAACCTTGCGAACAAGGGGATTTGTCCTTGGAGCTGTCATTGCCATTCTCAGTTTGACCTTGTCCACCATTTTGAACCGCACATTTTTCAGACCACGAGCTATCGGACACAAGCTTAAGGAGTGTCTCACTTCCCTATTTATTTTTTTAGAAAAGATGAGAATTACAAACGAAACGACTCCCAAGCAATTTTTGTCCAAATTAACCACAGAGTACAAGTCCCATCTATAAGCAGGCTACTTATACATGCATTAAATAATCCTCGCTTCAAATATTTGTAATTCATCATAAGAGAATATTGTAATAGTTAACAGACCTGCAGAGCTCGCCAATGGGAATAAGTTCGGAATAGGACCCAAAAGAATGGGATATTGGGCAGAGGTAAAACCTGCAATGCATAACAGGAACATCACATAGAAGAAAGTGATAAATCAATAATTCCAAAATTAACAACAGCTAAATTGCAGTGCATAACAGGAACATCTGAACTGTACTATGTACCGAAACCACACTATAATCACATACGTACACTCAACGCAGAGGTCAGTGGAAGTAATGTTATTGAACCATAGAAGTATTTCTTGTGGATTGAAGCTCCCCTGAAAATCAGACAGCATTAGAGCCATCAGAGACCAGACTCCCACTTCTTGGGGGCACACAATTTTGCAGTCATAAATAATCTTAAACCAGATTATAAAACACCAAAAAGGAAAATCCTCGTCAAAGATGATTTACTGTGCAACTATAGACATAATAGACAAAACAAATAAATAAATGAAAAGAGTACAAAACAGAAGCAAATAACCAAAATCTCCCAACTCTTCTCAGACATATTACTGAACTGGACTAGTGCCTGATGATTGGAATACAAAATAGTGACATAGAACAGCAGATTAGCCTCACAGCAAGAGAATCTACTGATAAGAGAATAATGAATTGAGTGCACATGTGCACATTTGATTGATTGCAAATTTAGTGACATAAAACGGGCAGGTTTATCCCCCCACAACAAGCATAATGGATTAAGTGCACATTTATACCAAACATGAAAATGTAAAGCAGACGTGATGCTTATTTCATTAAATCTGGTAAGAGAATGGTGACCTGACCACTCAACAGTAAAAGGAGGATAAGAATCTTGAAAGAATACACGATGGAGGATTCAGAGGCTGCAATTATAATGGGAGAACAGGAAAATCAAAATAATTTAGAGTACAAGAAACTCACCTAACTGCAATATGGCGCAACCTTCGTCGCACAAACCGTGCATTTAAACTGCAATAAATGAAATAAAAGATTCAAACATAACAAATGAGATGGGTACAACTGATGGTGTCTCATGCAGTTCTATTGTACTTCTGGCAATCGTACATCTAGTTTATAGTAATGATCGATGCATACAGCTTATAATAAAAAAAAATTGTATAGAGCAAAGCTGATGATAAGTCTTGGTTTGACGGTGAGCTGGAATGTCATAAAAAAGACATCAGGATTTTGAGAATTTTGAATAAAAAGAAGGAAAGAAGATCGAGCAATAGCTGGATGCACTGTCTTAAAATAAAGAGAAGCTTTCCCGCACTCAATAATCTGGAGAGTTCAGTCAGTGCAACTGAAAGAGTCGATACGGATATATAAATTGAATAGTAAACAATCCCTTCTGACTACATCTACCAACAGAAGCACAATTAAGTCTTCAAAATTCTAGTCAGTTTATCATGTTCATTGCAAATATCACTGAGCTTCAAAATCACCAGTTCCATAGATTATTCAAATGACAGATCTTCGCTGGACATTTCAATCTCAACTAATATATATGTAGAACAGAAGTACTTACTGCTGGTGAAAGAGAGTTTATCATCTTAAATGCCAACTCATACAAAGTCAGAAGCAATGAGCTTATATAGACCCACCTTGCCTCAGCAGGTATATAGCAGTCCCCAACAAAACCAGAACTCTCATCCCATTTTACTCAATAGTCAAAGAGGCTAAGAAATCCCATCTAATTGGTGCTAAGAAATCCAACTTTCCCAGAGAGTTTATCATCTTAAGGGCTAGACTAAAATGCTCAGATGAAGCACAAAGCGTTTCCATTGTGTTATGGTAACAGACAATCTAGAGCTGGTGCTCTTGTGTGTACTCCTAGAATAATTCTGAAACTCAAGCATTTCTAACAAAGCTGGGAGCAATAACAGACAGTGAAGGACGAAGCCACAAGTTTACTTGTACTGATCAATATGACAGAATCATTTCCAGTACTAAAACATGCCAAGAAACAACAGGCATTGGGTGGAAAAGGGAACAAGCTAAGGAAGAAGAAGAACAAGAAAATAGAGTAGAGTACCTGACGGGGTATACTATTTCAACGCCGGTGACGTCCCTGGATATGGACTTCAAGAAAATCTCTGAGGGCTTAACCCGTGCCAGTAGCTTCAAACCTACCCTACTCACGCGCAGAAACAATGATACGAACATGAAACCTACTGTTTTTTCACACAAGCAATGGGAGAGAAAAACAACAACGATAGACACACAGAAGCGCGAGTAATACTAATTGGTACCCATGAATCTTCTTCTTGAGAGTGCCATCGGGCGATTTCTCCATGCCAATCCAAGCTCCGTTCATCTTGTTGGCGATGAAATCGACGATGAGCTGGGCATTGCGAGGAGCGGAGGAGCCGGAGGAAGAGATGTTGCGCCAGAGATCCCGAAACGTAGAAGGGGAGCCGGATGAAGAGGAATGTTGATTAAGGGAAGGGTCTAGAGATCTGGAGAAGCACCAGTTCCTTCCACGAAGTGGGAACACAACCAATCTGGCTTTCATGGCGCTTCTGTCGCTATCGGTCTTGAACAGAAATGGCGTTTACAGAAGAAAGCGGGAGGTAGGAAGGAAAGGATGCAATGCAAGATTGGTGAATTGAGAAATTTAAGGCGCGAACGTTCCCTGGACTGGGCGTACTACTACTAGTCGATCGGGTTCCTTTCCCTTACTCTGCTTTACTTCTTTCTGCTTCTCTTCGATCAAAAGCATAAATCCCATCGACAGACAAAATTTCTAAACCTTATGCTCTATTTTCTAACAGTACATAAATGAAGAAATGCTCTCCCCCTGTCAGGGTTTTTACTTTATTTTATTTTATTTTATTTCAAGACATTTAATTTCAGAATTTTCATCGGAACCCCTTCATTTCGGCTATTCAAACTTAAGTGGTATGTCTGCCCCAGTTCTCAAACTTTAGTGGTACCGGAGGTATTTTACCCCTTCATTTCATTTCATGAACTGTCTTGTATACTTTTTCAATTTAAAATTTGTTTAAAGACTTTTTCAATCCCTATAGAGCTAGAATTTGCTGCTGCTTGGTTTAGGCTGTGGTGGTGGTTGTTGCCAAACATACGATTCGATTCAAGACAATTCTGGGCAATAAGAACATGCAATTTCCCTCCAATCCATTCCACTAACTCTTTTTCCTTTCGAAATACATGCAATCAACCAACAAATAACAAGCTAGTAATCATTTGTGCCATTCATTCCCAAAGTTCGTTTATTTCTGGACTTTTTATTTTCCACATCAATCGACCCAACGAATGTCTTTCTCCTGTTGTGCACCAAGCCAAGAAGTCTAGCTCCGGAGCCTTCATCAGCTACAGGCATTTAGTCAGTTCATCAGGGAGACCGGCGCGATCCCGATTCCCTGAACAAGGCTGGATGCTGGCAGCCACTGTTGTATATGTATTTCTTCAACTTCTAAACCAACAAACAAACTAAAAAAACACTTCCTTTTTCACCCCCTTCCTATCTGCACAGACGAGCCGATAAACAAGCCACTTCTATATGCATAATACTAGTTAAACGACTAGAGATACAAACCGCTGCTTGCTTACAAGTATCTTCAGGAATGGATGAATGAAGGATGGAGCTGCTCGGTTGCTTGCCAGCTATCTCAGGCACAAAAATTGGGAACAGCAGGGATCTCCACGGCATTAAGCATGGATAAAAGTAATCCATCGTTCGTTGTTCCCCAGCTGCTGCTCCCCTCCATTCTAACCAACTGCAGCCATAGATGCAAGCAAAGGAATCCATCTCCCCTAATCCCCAAAACCTCAGTCTTCTTTCTTTTTCTTCTTCATTTCATTCATCTTCTGCTTTGAAGTCTGGGAGCTCACCCTGGCACAGGTATTCATCACATGATGATGCTGAGTCCCAGTCCTTGCGAAGCCTTAGAATATCCTCCGTGAAAGTAGATCCTGCTGCTCCAATAAACACGCTTGACATGGCACATATGCTCTTATCCAGCATAGCTTCCACCTATCCAGACCAGCACATAAAAACAAAAACAAATAGATAAGATACGATAGTAGTGAGAACGAGAACTGATGGATCTAGATACACACTTCACTAAGAAATCAACACAAGTAACAGAAATTAAACAGTACTGCACAAATGCCTTTGCTCATTTCAATATCCTGGATTCTAACTAGTTCATCTATTATTCAATATGCATCAGAGAGGCTAGCATATCAGAACAATTCAGAAGCTTAACCACAGTTCTTCATTAAAAGAATGCTTTACAGCTCCAGAAAAAGTAAATTTTACAAAAAAGATTCAATGAAAGCTAACTCCACCCATTGGATATAACAAGTGATGAGATGCTACATACAGATTAACTTAGAACAATAATGCCCCTATAAAGCAAGCTAACAAAGGGTTGTCTGAGAAAATTGTTGGACCTTATGCAGGTACACTTAAAACATGAGAGAGAGATTGTCTCCTAGTTTTTCACATACATACATGAGAGTCGAGAGAGCCTGTCCAGTTTTCTCAATTAAGAGCTTGAAATCTAACATTCTGTTTTTCGCACTCATAAGCAAGGGACTTTCCTCAAACCACTTGGTGCATCCTCAAAGTATGAATAATCAGCTAAGGACTTCGTTTGTATCCACATATAGACATAGTAACCACTTATAGAACATCCAATAGCCAACTTCTCCAACCAAATACATACATGCCAGCCTCTAACTTCTAGTATCAAAACTAACTTTTAAATTTATGTTAACTGACCTTTTCTATGTTTAAAATTTAAGAAACTGGTATATTTTTTTCAATCTCTCCGACCATATCCACCTGTTTCTTACATTCAGACAACAAATGCAGCCTAAATAGCTCCACAAAGTGAACTTCACAATAACATGCATGTAGGATAAGTAAACAATACCCAGTGGAGCAGAACTAACTCAAGAAAGAAACAAAGATCAAGAACAACCAAAACAATGGAAGCATAGGAAGGACAGAAAAGGTTCCCACCTGTGGATCATCCTCGAGGTGATGTCTATATAACAAAGCATCCCACTTTTCAGCTGAATTAGGAGGAGGTCGCTTAACTAATGGTATGGTCTTCCCATTCACAACCAGTAGTGACTGCAACAAGTTAGTTTCACTTTCTGCCGCATCAGTTGAAAGATAGATAACTGGTGCATTTGCTCTTTCAATCAAGCGATCGATGCAGCTGGCAGCTTGAGGAATAGGGTAAAAGCAACTCGGCTTTTTAGCATTACTGTAAAATTATTCAAGAACAGTAAGTTAGACTCGGCTGTCTTCCAGTCCCAGTACCACAGATAAAAGCACACTAGCTAATGCATTCATAGCCCATAAAAGGGATATTAAATCTCTGTGCACCAAAGCTACCAACCTAGTATGCACGATCTAAGTTACGTGGAAGTTGGAACAAAAAGATCTCTAGTCTAAAGACCAGGATAAGTTTTTGTTAGTGACTTGATTCAACTAAGCAATTATTTTCAGCCATATGTTTAGGGAAAGCAAAAGTTGCAAAAACTCGAGGCATTGCTAAAAAAGATTGACGTGCTGCGGACCTCATTCGTCACAACCCTGCACCACCTGATGCATGTTGCATATGTTAACAATGATATAAACTACTCTTTTAGTCGTATGGCTTAACTTGACTATAGTATATTGACATTCCCTGGTAAAGATAATGTAGAGACCAAGGTTATGGTAACTGAACGTGAGACGGAATAAAAGTCATCATTATGTATGAAGAGACACTTGGACAAAGGAAGACATCCTTTTGTGACTTCATAAACATGTAATGTGGCAGGGGAAGTAAGCTCACCAAAACTTCAAAAAGCCATGCCGCCGGAAATGGAGAGCAATGAAGTTCTTCCCCAAGAATGTCTGGATGAAGCGCTGAGCTGTGAGCGTGATAAGTCTACTAGGTTCGATCAAGGTTTTGCATTTGTGAGCAAGAGGGCCACCGGGCTGCATCAGCCACTCAGTCTCGACATCCGCGTAGAAGACATCTCCAATGGCAATAACATCGTCGTCAGACGAGAACTTGGCCACAACTTCCTGGGCAGTCCTTTTACTAGGCTTCTTGATATCCTCTTTCCAAGGAGACTCTAGCTTACTCCCCACAGAGATCCCCAAGGCCTTCAACTTCTTGACATGTTCCTCGTCGACGTAACATGGCGTGGGGGCTGAGAAGTAACATATGAACTTGTCAATTCGCAGGCGATTCTTCCTCATCTCCTCGAATTCTTCGAAGTTGAGCACAAGCTTGCTTCCCAGACAAGTATTAATGTGGTCGATATCCAAGACTCTGCTGTAGTGATAATCAAATCGAGAGCTTGGGAAGACCAAGACCCGGTTTAGCAGTGCAGCAAAGAACATGTGCTTCTCCAGGCAAATCAAGTGGTTACTCATCTGTCCAGATAAACAAATAGCAAACAAGAACTTATTGGGTCGGGGCTTCCAGTCCATGGTTTTCCGGCCGGGCAGGCGGCGGTGGAGGCTCTGGCAGGTGGAGAAGAGAGCAGGAGCCGTGGCAGATGGATCGGAATCTGAAGACAAGGCAGTGCTGTTGGTGGGGGAGTTATGAGGGGACAATAGAACTTGCTCAATCTGCTTGTTGAGCGAAATCAAGGGGAGGAGGGCGGATTGGATGGAATCGAAGGTGGGTTCGGGAGCAGAAGAAGAATTGGACGAGGAATGGTTCCAGAGGGAGAGGAGGGAGCTCTGCTGCTGGCGGAGGAGGTAGAGGGCGCGGAGTTCGGACTCGCGCATCCGATCGGAAAGGGGATCGAGGTTGAGGACGGGGAATTTGGAGGAGAAGAGGGTGCGGAAGTCGGTGGAGAAGTAGAGGAGGAGGATGAAGAGCGGGAGGAAGACGGCGAAGAGATACCTTTTGAGGTTGAGATTGGAGAAGCGGCGGCGAACGCCATTGCCGAAGGTGCGGAGATCCTCGACGTGTAGAGATGAGGAAAGGGATCGGCCGGGAGAGGGTTGGTGTTGAGGGTTAGGGTGCGGATGCTTCCGGTCGTTCTGTTCGAGGAAGCTCTCGCGATCGTCGTCTTCGTCGGAGGAATCTCTGTTCATCGTTGCCAGTTGGGGTATCGGCGGTGAGCGGGGTTGGGTTAAGGGGTCTAATAATAATAATGCGATGGCGGGGATAAGCTGTTAAGCAAGCAAGGGAGCTGAAGCAGGGGCTGGCAGCGAGCCTGACAGAGAGAGAGAGAGAGAGAGAGACTACGGTGGTTAGTTGGTTCTCTTTCTTCAGCGGAAAGCTCCGATGCCTAACCGCAATCTCTCTCACCACCAGATTTGAGATGGCGACGGGATGGCGTACGAATTGGGATTGGTTGGATTGCGAACCGCTGCGTCGGTGGTTGGACGAGGACGAGGGGGTGGATTTTTTTCTTCTTCTTTCAACCCGACCCAATCTATCAACAGGGTGGATCAATAGAACAGTCAAATGGAAATGAGTTACGATCGTGGTTAAGTTCATTGTTCGGACAATTATTGATGTACCAAATATTTTTTCATAGTTCAACATGAAATCAGATAAACCACTACGATTTAACTAGTTCATTATATTAATCACAAAATTAAAAAAAAATCTTCAACCCATCAAACCAGATTTGACACCAAAATATATGATTTGTTAATTGTATTTCTACTTCCTCTTCCCATTTTCCACTTCATTGTCGACTTTACGTGGTCCACTATCAATTGGCACCGTAATTTCTTTTGTGAGACGGTTTGAATGATTTGTTAGATATTTTGGTGATGATATGAATTTGAAATTGTTTATGATTAATGATAACTTCATTATTAAATTAGTGTATTATACTAGTGTCGTATGTTATATATCATGCATGAACAGTGTTACCAACGGTTTTATAGCGATTAATCACTAAACCACTAACTTTTTCGATTCAGTGTTCGGTTCGGTTATGAAAACAAAGATTACCCACCAAGCTGTTGGTAGTTTCCCGCCTCCGACTTGCCGGTAAAAGAGTAAAGGAAAAGAAAAACAACTCCTTTTCTTTTAGATCAAGCGACGCATAACCCACTTACATTCAACTGCAGCACCGGTGTTCTACTTCCCAGCGTCAGTGCAGCTACTAATAATAGTCAATAATAATATACACCAAACTGCCATCAAAGTGTGCAAAAGTTTGGCACAAGGCAAAAAGGGAAAGAAGAAACACAAAGTGCTCCAGCTAACGGCAGAATTTCGTGTCTATGCCTCCTACGATGCATGTCACCACCAACCAGATCAAAATTATTATAGCCAACGATATAGATGATGATGATGCTGAACTCTTCCACGACAACTACTCCGACTACATCCGACCTCCTGTTACCATTTCAACAAGTCTTCCTCGAACCCATCTCTTTGTCACCCCCATCTCCTCAGTCTTATGCAGCTCGACTTTCGAACCATTTGGCCGGACATTGGTTCCAGATTTGAGATTCCCGTTCAGTTCACCCTGGCCGTGCTGCTCTGGTTTCTCCACGAGGCTCGCCAAATCGAATCCCTGAAGCGGGCTGCAACGCTTACCAGGGAACTCCAATTCACTCAACTTGATCAGTTCCTCATCTTCAGCACATGTTGCGGCGGTTTTGATTCCCCCATTTATCACAGCTGGTGGTCTGGATTCTGCTTTGGTAGAGCTTGACAACCGACCAGCAGCATCAATTTCCTTCTCCTCATCGCTCAGTTCAGTTGTTGCAAGATCCACATCCCCTCGATCAACAGACTCAATTGACTGAATTGCTTCTGCTATAAGCTTTCTGGTCTCTATCAGAGAAGCTCGTGCAATCGGGCTTTCTGCTGCAGCAACCTCGAGAACCTTAGCTGCCTTCTCAGCTTCAGCAATTAATAACCTGCATATTATATAGTGGCTGTATGGTTAGGAAAACATATATATATAATCGCCAATTTCAGAAGACTACTTCTGCTCAAACTAACAACTTAACAATCACCTTGCTCTTTCAACCGCTTCAGTTTTTTTAGTTTCCACGGCAGCTCTTTTTGCTCTGATATTCATTATCATCTGCAACTTGGATCTGGCCAAAGGATCCTTGTAGGATGGTGTTATAGTGTTTCGCTGTCTTGTGACCTGTGTAGAGCTTGTGGTATCACTTCCAGAAGAATCACTTGTTTCACTGGTTTTCTTTTTCGCACTATCCCTCTTGGTGGATGGTCTGCTGCCAACTGCCTTTCGCCTTGGCTTTCTCTCGGTTCCTGCCGGAATACCATGATATTTAGCAAGGCCAGAGCGAACTCGGTCTCGATATGACTAGACAAGAAAGAAAAAGAAACTGTAAGAAAGTGGGCAACACATGCAAAATCTGGAATCAAACAAGAACGAAATATCCACTTGCAAGCCGTAAGTCATCTATACTGATTCCACTAAATGAATATTCTGATGGGAAAAAACAAACTAACAAGAGAAACAGAAAAACAGGAGATGATTCATATGTGTGCTTACAGGATCAGCCCATTTGGCAGCAATGGCTTCTGCAATCTTTCTTCTTTGCTCAAGGGATTTTGGTGCCCTCTTGTTGCCTTTTGTCCTAGGAGTTGCTCTTCGCTTTTCAACGCTCTCCACCCATTCAACTTCAAGCTGTTTGCTCAAGATACTGTAAGAATTCCATTGCAGCTCTTCTTCATCAACACATCCAATCCTTGAAGCTGCTGCAATCAAGTTCTGCCATTCAAAATAACAAGTTTCCTGCACCATCAGCTTGTCACGACGCTTTTCCCATCCCATTCGTACTCCTTGTCCAATTTTCACTCTTGTCTCTTTGCTGCGAGATGATTGACAATGGATACGTATTAGTGTGATATAAGAAGGTAAAGGTTAACAGTTCAAGACCTAGTGACTATCATAATCACTAACCACATAAATGTAAATCAAGGCATTTTCAACCGAAAGTGTCTGAGTATGCAGAAGTAGGGAGCATATGATATCTCAAACTTTGTAAGATCAAATAAGTGACATAAAACTCACCTCTGAGCATGCCCAAGGCTTGCAAGCTTCATTTTGATCTGCCAAACCAAAAGAAAAAAAAAATCCTATCAGAACTGTAACTGCAACTGTATATTGTACAGAAGGTTAAAGAGGTTTCCAGTTGTTTTCATTGTCTCCATTGACCCTTCAAATCCACGGTCCTTCATAGTTATCATGGATCACACCACAGCATAAGCAAGAATCGATACACATAAATAACAGGGAAACTAAAGCTGAAAGGAAAAATCTACACCCCGAAGATTCCCTTGGATGGATCTTGAACATGGCCTGAGAAAGAAACCGGGACCAATTGGCAAGAGAAATACATGGCCTTCAGCCTTAGCATAGTATATAACTTCCATGCAGAGAGAGTTATCAACTGGACAAGTGTTCAGATTTTACTTATGTGTCCATGCATGAAGTTTGGGTTATCAACTACACAAAGTCAATTAGCATGGACTTTGATGATGCAGAAAGCCATTTTAATTTACTTTCAAATCATATGCAATATGAAACGTATAAAAAAAATCTTACATGACATCACCTTAGGATTCTGCATGGCAAGCTTTGTTCTCTCCCTGATGCGTTGAAGGGTTTCTGTGGTTCAATTATTTAAGTTAATTGGGCAGCATGAATAAATTACAGAACGAATGCCTTAACAGCAAAACCCCCCCATAACATGGTCTGTATATGTGGTGACAACCTACCTGGACTGTGCTTCCTGCCCTTGTTCCAAGGTACATTGCCTTTATTTGCTTTAGAGATCCTCATTCGTCTCAGCCTCTCTCTCTCGTCCACTTCTGCATCTTCGGAGTCATCGAGAGACGTGGAAGGAGTTGAAGTGAAGTTCAGATGCGCATCACGTTGAGCTTGATTCCCATGTCCTGCTTCGCTCGGGACCAGTCTCTTTGGTTCGAGGGTCGCCGCAACTGCCTTGATGAGAAATTTATGTGGCTGATAGGCGTGGTGCACCCTTAGAGGCCGAAGTGGGAGGAAAGATTTCCAGACCGAGAGCAGTCTTGCATCATCAGCAGCAAGAGTGAATGGGGTTGCAAAGGCTTGACAATGAGGAAGGAGTCGGACCCTCGGAGTCAGACTCAGAGGCGGCAAATGATTCTTCAACGAAGTCTGAGCAGTAGGAATATCTGCCCCAAGATATCAGATAAATATTTAACTATACTTTCACAAGACATGGCAAGCAACTGAATTTCTAGCAGAAGCTATATGAACTACCAAGGGGCCATGGAAAACTCGTAAGTAACTCCACTAGCCTGGCCTCTAAAGTTCTCTAGCAGCAACAAGCATTCAGTAGCAGGAAGTTCAATCGAAACAGAACTAAAGAAATGGAAGAGTAGGCGAGCAAGAAGAAGAGAAGCACCTAGTAAAGGCATTGATGAGAGCTCATTCAGACAAAGATGTAGCGCTGATAGCTGAAATTGAGCCGTCCGTCCGTCTAATTTCAACGGCTGAAGCTACTACTGAAAGGCAGCATTTACACAAAACAGTTGGGACTTGGAGAGGGGAGAGATAGATTACTTCCCCGTTCCAGTTCCAGTTCCAGAGCAGTGGGCAGCGTCGATGGAGGTGAAATGAGAGGCCGCAACTGAGATATGGACTGCTGAAGCACACAAACAAATTGCACCCAGTATCGTAGCACAGCGACAGCCGCCTCTTCTGCTTCCGGTCTCAACTCGTCTCGTTTCCGCAGACTGCCTCCGAAAAGATAACGCGAATTGGGAAAAAGCTCTAAAAAATCATAATGAATATCCAGGGAAAAAAAAAAACAAATAAATAGGTACATAGAATACGGAAAACCCCCCAAAATTTTATGAGAGATTCAAATATAGTCCCCAAACTTTATTAATGCATCATGGATTGGAACCTCCCCAGCCTGCCTCGGCATTCCGTATTCGATTCGTGAACATGCGTAACAATACTATTCATAATCCAGCTTTACATGGGTAATGAAATTCTTCTTCAGAAGATAGCTTAGGACATTTGATTTGCGATTACGCGTTGCGTTAATTCGAATGTATCAGAAGTACTCTAACTGAATACTGATTCTCGACGCCTGGAGTTAGCTCGTCGAAAATACCACGTGTTCTGATCGTTGGTGGTTACAGAAAGGGAATTGCAGAAGGAGAGTATGAATGGAGAAAGAACCAATACACTCACTCCCACAAGCTGGTCGAAGAGCAAATTCTGCTAACATAAAACACCAGTACTGTAATCAGTCAAGACACCAGACTGTAGATACCCACCACACAGGTCAAAATGACAAACTTCTATACACGCTATATATTTTTCCCCCCCTTTTTCCCAGTACATAGATGAAACCTAATGACAAGCATTCAGAAGACAAGAAGATGAAAAAAAGAGTCTCAGCCTAGCATTTCCTGGCCTGTTTAGTTTCGGTTACCCCCTGCTTCAGTTTCTCCACTTCATTCATCGGTCTAGGGATGTGAAAGCTGAAGCAGAGGCAGTGCCATTACAACCCCAAAGATTGAAATGAGCAATAACACCACCCATGTAGGAAATGTCTGCTTTCTGTTGTTTCTTCTTGCATCCCTTGCTGGATCTACCCTTCTCCCCTCTTCTTCCAAATGGCCGTCCACTTTTTCTGGCTTAGGCCTCGAGTTCTCATCTTCTGAAATCTCAGGTCCCATATCTGAACCAGGTTGCTCATCAGGCTGCTGCTGCTGTAGGTTGTATTTCTCAACATACTCGGGAAATAACTTCCTAAATGTCGCACTGCTAGTCAGAAAATAAGAGGTCAAACACAAACAATCATATTAATAAACTCAGTTAAAAAGAAGCTCACAATACACAGGCCTTAAATCAGCAGCTGTTTCATGACTTCCATCTACAATATATTTTCACAATTATTCAAAAGAAAGTGCCATCATCCCCAGAGAATTGGCATGAATGGAGCCAGTAGAGTAGACCATTCAGAAAATTAATAAACAGGTGCACTTGGTCACAGAATGTGAGAAAGGGAAGCCTAAAAGGGATAACCCTATATGTAGACCGCGTAGTAGGAAACTGAAAAGAAATTCATCAAGAAATTAAGAAAAGGAAAGGGGGGAAAAGTGATGTAGAAAGATTGGCATACTTCTTGCAATTGGAAGCAAGAGAGGCCTCTGCCAGGCGTTGCTTCTCAGCGACGGTACTATTAACGCTGCCGGTCGTGGGGCTGTTGTCCATCTGCATGAGAAGGGTAAGAAGATAATAGAGCGAAGGTAGAGGAAGAGTTATAATCTCTACATCAACAGGTATTCTTCAAATTAAAAAAAAAAAATCAGGACATTTTTGAAACTACCAAGAGCACCCAACCTCCACTTTCCCCTATTCCCGAGGATGAGAGTGCATAAGAGATTATGTAAAGTATAATGCATGCTAATGACTGAAAAATTGAAGACTCCCAGAGTAAAAGCGTGCATTGCTACAACCAGTCCTAGAAGTATGCAAGATCAATTTTGAATGCTGAAACCAATTGGAAGATCCAAAGAGCAAAGTGCACTCACCATAAAAGAAAGCAGTCCTGTAAGTATGCTGCACCAGTACATGAAAAAAATGTTATACAAAGATCAATTAAGAACCACCTGTTTTCAATAATTGCAAGAGGCTACACCCTGGGAGCTAAAGAAATACAATAATAGAATGTCTGCAACCAATAAAGAGCACACATCAACCCAATCAGTTTTACCTTGATACAGACCACATTGGATTCCAACTTTCTGGATGAACTGAACAGGAGAACATGAAGGATACACGCAAAGTTACTACAGAGTATGAAATTTACTTCCAATTGAAAATTGACTCGTAACTTACAGTCACTCATTGACAGGCAGATTTTCTTCTGAGTCATGAATCGTCCATTCGGAGTGATCATACTACCGATAGCAGTTAAAAAGGATTGTATAAGTTAAAGAAGCTCATCATTGGAAAAAAGAAACATAAAATTACATTTACTATGGAATACATTCATTGACAAGGAAGAATGAGCATTACGTAATTCCAGGAGGTTTATATGGATATTCAGGAGGAAACTTGATCTTTCCATAGTAATATCCACCTGAACAAAATTTACAAAGTCCATCTAAAACAGTTAAATATCATGAATGGAAACTGGAAAAAGGTCCAAGACAAAGTGATTTCCAGCAGCATAACCAGTATTCCCTCTCAAGTAGCACATTGATGACAAGTTGCATACCTGCAAAAGGAGTTCCTTCACTTCCCTCCAATACATAATCTAGAATATCACAACGAGGAAAACAAGCAACAATCAGATCTAAGAATAACACCCCAAAAGGATTGACCAGACAAAACCACATGACAAGGAAGAGCAAAAGAGACAAAATGAACAAAACAACAAATGTTGATAGTCGCATTATTTTATGTATGCATTAAGTACAGGCTCCTTTATGTTTTCATTCCAAGCATCACCATACAGCATGGATCTCTGTCCACAGAAAAATCAAAGATAGGCAGCGCAGCATTGACATGCTGGAGCGGAACAAGAAGAAAAACAGGTGGTATTTCACTTTTATGCGTGTGTGCAGAAGATAGTAAGGAACAGTTACTTACGCCACTCAAGAATGTTGTTTGGGGAAGGACGGGCAACCACATTGGAGACTGGTTCCTGAAAGTTCATCAGAGAACAAAATAAGTCAAGGAACTAGTGAAGCTACTGCCACACAGTTAAGGAACGTACAAAACTGCCAAGAGGACGATGGCAAAACTTTATACGTAAACCCTGCAACTTTATTGCCTCTACCACATTGGACCTCTTATTCAGTTCGACATACAAAAGGCTAACTTCAGGAAGACGAAAACTTCACAAGGACGTTCGCTTCGCAAAAAGGCAGTTTTCAAAAAGTGAGGTGCGTATCGAGGATGACGGGCATGGAGAATATACATACCTTGCAGAGTGCCCTGTATTCCTTCTGAAGCCGCTTGACGCAAGCTTTCTCCGCCATTCGAATGACTGAACGAGTTAGTAAGAGTAGCAATTCCGATGAGCTCAGGAACCTAGTGCTGATGATGAAAAAGGAGAGGTAGTCGCGATACAAGTAGTTAATTTCATGTAAATGGGAGGAGAATCATAAACCGCGTGTGAGTGATGAAAATGAAACCATAAAATTCCTAAGAAAGCAAGAGAGATTCGAATGGAGCTCCGCAACAGGGATTGGAAAGTTACGGATTGACCCTAGAACGGAAATGGATCTGACAGAGGGAATGGGAATCGGAGTCGTGAAACACGAAGGAACGAACGATCAAGAGTTTCAGGAAACCCTAAATTATTCATCAGACGGATACATAAATAGATACCTTTTCTGATCGACGTTTCAATCGCCTCTTCCTCCTTTCCTTTCGCGGTCACAAACAGACAGATGATGGCGCTTGGAAACCTCGCTTACCGGCCTATCCTCTCCCCCGATTCTTCTACTCCTAATCCTACAGAGATGTTTCTTCTCTTCTACCTCCAAATTTCCATTATCCGCTACTTGATCCAATTCCAGAAGTTACGCGACCCGCTCCGATCACAGCCCTACGCTTTCGCCTCTCCTCCTCGTCGTCGATCGTCGTCCTCTTTCTTCTGGTGCTTTGCCAGTTGGAGGGTTTGGGTTGGGTTTTCGTCCAGTTGTTTTTTTTTTTCTCCCTCCATGGTTTTCTTTTTGGCGGGACCAAGGCCCAATTTCTTCTTCTCTTAGTCATGGGCCGTATTCAGAGAGAAAAACTAAGCAATTGGGTAATGCGCGCTGGGCCGCCTACCAATCACTGTATTAAAGGTTAGCCCGATTGCATCACTTATAGGGATGGCAATCAAACCCATGCCCACAGGTATCCAATCGCCCCCGATCCAGTCAATGCGGGGAATCCCTGCATTGATCGGGTATGGGGCGGGTATGAGTAAAACCTTCAAAAAGTTTGATGGGTATGTGGCGGGTATGGTTTTAGCCTCCCCCGCCCCATACCCATACCCGCCCCACCAAAAATATTTCTTCATATATGAAAAATATGTGAATCAATTTGTAACCTATCAATAATAGTGAGTATAGCTCAAGAAAAATATATAGTAGAAATGCAATTGAGTGGTCACCCAAATCAAAATTTAATTTCTTTCTCTCAATTTTCTCTTCACTCTTTCACTTTTTCCTCTTGTTAAGAAGATTATGTTAGTTAATTAATACTTAATAGATGTATCATAGTAGAGAATAATGATTTGGATGACATTGTACTCTACTCTGATATGGATTAATGGAGCTTTAGGATAAGATGCTTTGTATTGTATTAAAAATGATTGTCTCTTTGTCGACTTCATGATATAGTAGGTGCGTTTAATGTTATAATTGAAAATCTACATGTAAAATATTCGGTATTATAATGCTGCATGTACGGGGCGGGTATTATCCATGGGCACCTGAAACTCATGGGTATGGGGATGGGTTTGCAAAATCTCCCGCCGCATGGGTATGGGGTGGGTATGGGTATAGATATTTGAAAGCAGGGATGGGGATGATTTAGGCAAACCCGCCCCAAACCCACACCATTTCCATCCCTAATCACTTAAGAATCTATAAATGAAAACTATATATGGTTCGGTCGGTTGGCCGAAATAACTTAATTTGATAAGTTAAAACTGGATTAATTGCACTATCTAACAATTAAGTTTACTATTTTTTACGAGAAGGGATACGCTCACTTCCCCTAAGGGTTGTGAGATTCACAACCGATGACATTTTGGATATGACAAAAAAATGAATTTATTAGTTAATTTTTCTGTATTAATTACAGATTGGGGATGAAAACCCCATATTAAATGCATGTTTTTATAATTTAATTCAAATAATAAATATATGTCTCTCTCTTCTTATATCTCTCTTCCTTTTTCAGCAA